AAGTGTGAAAAATCTGGGCATTTTTGTTATTTACAGAGCAGTTTGTGAAATGATCTTCTCATATGCATGTGTGTTGACACAATAACAGTGAACTGGTAATCAAAGGGACAGGGCATGGAGGAGAGGAGGGGTGTTAACAGATGAATGAGAATGGACGGCAGTGACTGTATCTTGGCCAAGTGGGCAGCTGTGAGGATTGGATCCTCGGTCACAGCCATCGATTCTGAGCCCGGGGGCCAAGTCCAGCTGATCTCCAGAAGATACTGATAGGTTATCTACTCTGCTTGTCTCTGCTATCAAGCCTGTCTATGTGATTGTTATTGAGCTCCGTATGCCCTTGATGGAGAGGTGTGACTTCTCTTCTTTGTTCTAGATCATAGCATTGCACCAGCCTTTGTTTTTTTAGTGAAGATTACAATGGTTCTTTTTCTTTTGGTGTTAATGACCTTGACAGCATGTCTCTCTCTAAATTTGTCTCTAATCTCCATGTTTGGATCTCTGTAGGCATGTATTGAATAAATAACAACAGAGACCAACATTTAGTTTTATTCCCTATTGTCTAACTTGTTTGTAACTAAAGGGAGCAGGATTTCGTATCTTTCTTCAATAATTCATTGTTCTATTTCAAGCTGAAACAGGATGCTTGGTTGTGACATAATACAGGAAGAGACTTGTCAAATGCAGTTGGTTCAGGCTTTAATAGTCACAGAAAGTGACTCAGTGACTTTGTGCATAAAGTCAAGGTGTCACAAACTGCAGGTGCATCAAAATGAGAGCTGGCACACATGCAGCCATGATGTGTTAGGAAAAGCAGATGGGGCTTTTATGTTGAACCCCAAATATTCAGCAGTGTCACCCAATGTTCAGGGGCGTTTGTATGTTTAAATTGTAACTTTTTGTTTTGATGCACTAAACCAACAGATACTGATAAAGATATTAATTAAAAGTGTAATTAATTACAAAGCAGGTGCAGTTATCAGTTGAAGCAAATGTGGGGAGTTTCATCATATCACCTAGAGCAGAAAAATGTGGTATGACTGCCAATAACTGGTACTTTAATCACTGTTTTATTCATTTATTTTCTTTACCCATTTATTTCCATTGCCAGGAGGCCAGAGCTTCAGCCAGCCCACTGTACGTTGTGTGGAATATGTATGTTATAGTAGGTCATCTGGAGAATTATTAAACAAAACAAGTCATTTTTTAAAATTTCATTATGAATTTAAAATGGTCGATTGGCAGATAACTAAGAATTATGAGAACAATGCCTGTACATCTAGCAGACACAGAGCAACATGAGCATCCCAATTTACCTGTTTTTGTTTGTTTGTTTGTTTGTTTTATCTCCACCAGGCATAAGCCTGGAGTTGATCATGTGTTGGGTCATGTGTAATTGTGTGTGTTATATCTCAGCAGCCAATCTCAAAAACTACTGGACCAATCAACCTAATATTTTGTGTGCACATGTATGACTATACGCTCAAAGACCTCTCTTGGTTGCGGTGATTCATAATTGTTGAAAACCTCATTTTAAACTGTAGTATCTGCAAATCGATTTCATACCCAATATGTTATTATCCACTAAATTCCAGCAGATTACAAGATGAATTAGTCCCTGTTTGTTATCTTTGCTGCCATCTTATCTGTAAGGGAGCCAGGAGGGACAATTACACCAGGCCCAGCTGTGACCCAGTTTTGTTCTGTCCGCACTGTGTTGTACCACACCAGGAGCCTTTCAGAAGTGGAACACTTTGACTGCCTGATTTTGTAGACCCAGAGATTTTGTCAGTTTGGTAATTTTTTCCATGATAATTGTGCTATCAGGAGTTTTTTTTAGTTTGGCTTAATTGTGTTTATTGGTGTCCTTTCCTGCTTTGTTGTGCTGTAGTCTACAGACAAAGTTAATATCATTCAAAGTCCAGTCCCGAACGACATGGAATAAGATTACGGGCAGTGTGTTAGTCATTTGTAATGCATTCATCCTCATACAGTAGTTGTATTTCACATACAGTGCCTGTTAGCAGGAAAACTCTGCTCTAGTGCAACGTGCAGTGGCTCTGTCAAAAATAGACAAGCCGTGTGTTTTTATTAGTTTCCGGGACTCTTTTGAAACACGCTGCAGTGTGTCTGCTGAAGTTGTCTAGAGTGGCCGCAAACAGTCCCCCGCCTGGGGAAGATCTGCTGTCTTCCACTTTCTTTTTCTCCTGAGAAAAACATCTTCCCCCTTAGCTGCTAGACTTTATAGTTGGTAGATCTCACCAGTTAGTCTCTAACTTTGTTTGTCTGCTGTTTGGTGCTGGGCAGGTGGCACACCGTTGTTTTGCCAGGAGCTGTCGGCTGTTTGCTGCTCTAACCAGGGTTTATGAGAGCGGTGAGACTGAGCCACACAGAAAATGTGCTGTAAAAACCCTTTCACGTTACACTCCATCATTTGTTTTACAGAAAATATAAAAGATATTACTTGGTGGAGCTTTAAATAACTCACTTGTTAGGTGTAACCTGGTCCCAGTACACATAGCACAACTTCTTCATCCTGTCGTACCTTGAACCTGTTCAGCCAGTCCGCCCTGCTCTGCTGTCATCCATCCATCCATCCATCCATCCATCCATCCATCCTCCCGTCCCGACATCCTAGGATTTCAGCACTGCTTCATCTGGCCCCACAGTCCTGCTGAATATGCATGGATACAAACGTTACAGTGCCAGCATGCCCTGGAGTGGCCTGTGCAGTCAGAGGAGGAGCAGAGGTACCGAAGGAGGGGGCAGATTGAGTCGTCCTGCATCAGTAACTTTCCTTTGATAAGATCTCAGCCTCATCTGCAGATACAGGAAGAGCAGGTGGGAAGATAAAATGAGTTAACAACAGGGACACCGAAAGCATGAGGCAACTAAAACAAAAGAGAGTGAACAAAGTATGACAGATTTAATAGTAATAAAATTACAGCTTTTCTTTGTCATAACTTGGAATTCAATTATATGAAAGCCAGTAAGCTGTCTATCCCATTATTTTCAAACCTAAAGATCTGAATTGTCAGATATCCAAAGCAAGAGCTCTTATTGATTCATCCAAACATACAGGTAATAAAACCAGACAACCTCTGTGTGGGAGATAAAGAAACCTCATGAGGCTTATGAAAACATTCCATTCAAAGAGAATAAAAGGAAAAGGTTGAATTTGTTGCTGTCTGCAGAGTTTTGATGCTTTGTTTTGGCAGTAGTTTCAACAACTATCAGCAGGATCCCAGATCAGTACTGTTGGAATCAATGTGCACCGCAGGCACTCCATGTTGTGAGTGATACAGTAGCTGTAAACTTTGATCTGCTTCACATCCAGTATTACGGAGCTTGTCCTCGACCTCATTGTTTTTAACTTTCTCTTTTCTCAGCGGTAAATGGTGCATTGAACTATGAAATCTGACGTGCGCTGGTCTTAAATTATAACAACAAAGACGCAAACACCATCCATATTTCCATTTAAACGTAAACATACCATGTAATGAATTTCTACAAACACATTTTAGGAAGTAAAACCTGCAGAAAAAAATTACAACCCCAAAGGCTTTAATCATGTCTGTGCTATACTGTACCTGTTTAAAGCTAGGCCAGGCAGACATCTGGAAAAGCAGCTCTCCCCTCTCTGTCCTAGGCCCCGCTCACCAGACGACCACAGGCATATGCTTGTGTTTTATTCAGTAGTCCTAACTCAGTGTTTCCCATACGCTGATTTATTTAATCTTTTGTCATTGTAGAGTTGTACCCAGCTCATTCACTCAGCCCCTCTCTGCCCTGCTCTCACTCTCTTTCTGTTTATTGAACCACAAATGAGACAAGAGTTAGCAAGCTAACGTTAGCCACCTCACTGTTCCTTCATCTCACTTGCTGCTATTAAGGATTTCTTCCCTGGAAGGAGAGCAGGCAGCAGCTCAGGAGATGGATCCTCGGTCGGCAGCTGTAGTGTGAACTCTCCAACGCCAGGTGTCACAGCAGGCTGGTGCTGGGTCTAACCTGTTAGCCGATGTGGTGGTGTGTCAGGGCTGCCCTGTCCCACAGAGTGTGTGTTGCACTGGCTGGCTGGGTTCGGGTTTCTGTGGCCACTAACTGGGGATCAGTCTCTGGTGCTGCTGCTGCTCCTCTCCTGGTGAGGTGGTTTGCAGTGGTGGGGAATGAGGTTGAGGACACACCTTGATATGTGGCTCTAGCTAATGTTAGCTACATAAACATTAATTTTTGAAGCTGCAGCTGTGAGCCTTTGGCTCCAGTTAGCAGAGGGCTAATATAAGCAACATTTTCCCTCCATCTCTGCAACACTTATGCAGCCAATATTGACATCTGTTTTTTTTTTTTAAATTCTTTTATTGTCACATTTCCCTTTTAGACTCTCTTTTTTGATATTTTGCTCTTCCTTTATTGGGTTGCTCTCTGTAGGATTTTCCGCCGTTGAATCAGGCATTGTCAAAGGGACATGTAGGCACTTCTACATTAGTAGAACAGACAATAGAGACACCTTGTCTCTGACAGACAGGTAACCTATCCAATTATTTCATTGCACCCAAATGAGACGATTGGATGGGCTTATTACAGGCCTGCGACAGCCACAGATACCAGATATTTTTTTTTTTTTTTTGGAAAAATTCAGAGCATTTATTGATTGCTATCGGGATGTAAAGAGAATTTCAACAAAAAAATGCTTCTAATATAAGTTGCCTACTCTAGCTCTAATCCAAGAAAAGTCCATTGCTGTTGGTATAAACAGATTGCTTTTCAGTTACGCAGCCTGGATATTGCTCTGCAGTTCAAGGAGAACCATTCATCAGATCATCAGGTGGATAAGGGTTGAGTTGGGATGAGTTTTACTTAGTTACATGTCACCATTTCAAAAGTTCAGGATGGTTTTGGTGTGTCATTTACAAACAGCAAGTAATTTGACAAAAGTTGCAAACAATGCAGATGTCAGTATGTTCCCAACTATCTATAATGTGTGTTTTTTTCCATTGTGTCAGGTGATGGACAGGTTGATTTCGAGGAGTTTATGACCATCCTAGGACCCAAACTCCTGTCCTCTGAAACGAGAGAAGGCTTCCTGGGCAGCACAATAGATACCATCTTCTGGCAGGTAAAACTTTATTCTCTTGAACACATCTGTTAAATTTGCTGAGTCATGAATTGAACAGGATATAGAGAAATGGTGCTGTATGTCTCCGCTGAAAGATAATAACTGCTAAGTGGAGCAGGAAATGGATCATGATTATTACTTTCATTTTTCAGCCTCCAGAGGTTTTCTCCTGGAAACCAAGGGCCTAACATTTTGAAAAGTTTTTTGTCAAATGAAAACTGTTGCAATATCTGGCTGTGGTTCAAAGAAGCAGTCCTTTCTTTGCTGCACTAAAAACTGCGGTAATGCCTTCATGTTAACAAACTCGTGTTTAATTCCTCTGTATAATCCACCAGATGTAAAAACCCTAGGGACCACATACATCAGAAATAGGATATATGATGGTTAAATGTCAAGATATTAAGAAGTTCAGTTCAAATTGTGGCATTCCCAAAAGGGTTGTTTTTATCTGACAAGAACTAGAGATGGGTCTCACCATTCACAAACAATCGAGGATGCGTTTGCAACACAGGGATAGAAAACACTTTAACACAATGTCACGATAGCTTAATTATAGAGTAAGTATTTAGAAATAGAGCACCTTTTTGTAAAACAGTAGAATTACCGTTTAATTTGTATGTGACACTCATCCTAGCGTTTCCAAATCTTTATTTTCTTTCCTTCTCGGAATAATGAACATTTTACACCCATGTCTTTTGCGATTTGTGCATTTAAAGTCCCAAAACCGACTTCATCTAGTACTCCTTCGAAAAGCTATATCTTGTTTTCTCCCTCCATCTCACTGATGACATTGTTCAGAAACCTATCTGTAGAACATAACAAAACACAAATGGTTAACTAATTTAAACACATTTTGAGAGAGAAGTATCCCTCATTCTCCACGTTCTTAATGAAGTTGCATTTGTCAAAGAAGAGCTGTGGTGCTGCGCAGTCAACTTAGAACTCAGAGGATTTTTTGTTGCTGAAAAAAAATATTTGTGCTCAGAGGAAGAAATTATCCTGGGACTCACATAAGTCAAAGTGTGCCAAGCCCAGGAGTCTTCTCTGCTTCTCTGTACTAATGCAATCCATAAATCTCATTAAAGGAAGTATTACTTTATTTGACTCAGTTTCCACTTGGCTTTCACTGTTTCCGTACATCTTTGAAGGACAGTGCAAAATAAAAGCTTTATATAGAGCATCTCACTGAGTGATATTGTGACTGATGATGGTAATGTGTGACCCTGACAGATGTACCTAAAGGGTTCTGAGAGAAACAAATGAGAGAAGTCATGAGAGTGATGAATGTGCATGACAATAGAAAGAGTGAGAGAGCATGAATGGGAATGATGACAAATGGAGCAGGTGTGAGGGGAAGTATGGACATTTGGCACTGATAGTAACACTTGGCAAGTCCGTCCTCTTGATGTAATCATCGGCTTGATCCGGGCTTTTTCTCTGGGTCAGGAGCTTGTGGTTTACACCATGAGGACACGAGTCTTCGGAGGTATGAGTGCAGACTGGGTAAACGTGCTGCCAGCCCCATTTGGCTGCTGCAATGACCTTGGCTTATGCAGGAGAGTGGTTGGCCTGAAAAGGTTTTTGTTTTTACCTCTCCAAGTGAGGCTGATGGTTGTGGGTTGGCCGGATTGGGATTTGTGACTTCTACACTCACAAACCCACATTTTTCTGTCTGATGAATTCATGCATAGAGGCTGGAATCAGCAGCAAACATCTGATGTGTGGAGCATATTGAGAGGTGAAAAACACTCAAATGTTGATTTGTCATGATTATTTCTCCACATGCCCCACAGATGATTAGTTGCTTGAGGTATTACAGTTTTGTGCTTAGTTTGTTAATGGACTGAGGTGTGTGACTCAGCCACTTCCTCATTTTGTGTTTTGTCATTCTGCTTAAATATCTGTTGTGAAGTCAAAGTGTTTCTAACATATTGGCTTTACATACTGGTTGGAGGGTACCATATGCAATTTTACCAATTTGGCAACTTTCTTGCTAAATCTAGCAACTTTTCAGACCCTTTTTAGCAACTTTAATTCTACAAAGCAACTTGTGATAAATTTTGTGACTTATTCAGACCATCAGGGAAAAGCAGAAAGATTTTGTATCATAAATCATTTCCATGCATGCAGCAGACCATGGCTATTCTGTGGTCAGCGCAGGAGTCTCTCCTCTCACCGCTGTGCAGGAGGTGTGGGACAGGCAGGAGGAGAGAGCATGCCGCTCACTGTGGGACTCCAGTTGTTGTGAGTTTCTATGGTTATGTTGACTCCCCTGCTCTCTGAATTGGAAGTGCCAGAAATGGTGAGAGACAGGTGGAGACAGAGTAAACTTTACTGCTACAATGTAGCACAAATGAAAACATCAGAACAAAGTTCTTAACAAAAAATTCAGTGTAAACTCCGAGTTAAATAATTAATACACTCTCTGACCAGACTAATGCAACATCTACTTAGAGAAAATAGTGTCAGCGCCATAGATGCAACAAGATATGTCAGCGCATGTTACAGTCTAAGAGACAACCAACACAACAACACATAACAGCTGGAGTTTATCTTCTCACAGCTCACACTCTTTATTTAGTCCTACATTTCATAAGGTTTTTTGCCTTTACAATTTACCTCTATGACTTTGTATTCATAAATTGTTGATTGTTTTGTTTTATTTTTGATCTTAGTTAGCAAAGTTACTTATAACCAATGAAATACACACACACACACACACACACACACACACTCAGACTCACACACACCAACGACACATAAAAGCTGGAGTTCATCTCTTTACAGCTTACCGTTTGCTTTTTATTAATTCCTACTCCATGTTTTTTGGTTTGTTTTCACACACAAACACATAAAATGTGTTCATAGGTAACTATATATGAGACATGTGAGATATGCATGTCTATATATGTGCTGTCATTAGTGTAAACAGTTGTAAATTTTATTCAGTGCCTTTTAATTGTATTTGTGCTTTGGCAACACATGTTAAACTTTTGGAGGTCCTCCTTGCTACTTTTATTTGAAAAGAGTTGGCGACACTGACCATACGATTGTCCTGTCATCAGCCATCTCATCTTCATACAGTGATATCTAATGAAATAGCGCCTCATGAATGAAATACGTACTTAACATAAAGTTACCTAGGTGAGGTTTAGGCAAGTAAAGTTACATAGGTCAGGTTTAGGAGAAGAAACCTGGTGATGACGGAGGTTGAAATGAGACAAAGTTCACTTGGTTTCAGTCTGTTCCAAACACTGGTCTCCTGGGGAGGAGTCCTGTGTTGTTTGACCCATCCACCACCCCAACCTGCCTCCTTACACGGACTACTTCCTCTTTACTCCCATCAGCTTATTGGTTGCATTGGTCGCAGCCTTCCCAATTACATGGGTTGCATACAAATTGTGGTGCATTATTTTTCTTATGTACAAAAAGTGCATGAGAACAGTCAGCCTCAGCTCGACAATCTTTTTTTACAAGGCAGTCATAAAATGAGAAAAACATTACATCTGCTCAGACAGAATGGTACATGCAGTGTAACTTTTGTGCAACAATAGAAGAATGGAAATGATCTTAGCAATGCAAGTATACATGAAGAAAAATAACACTATTTGCTCAGAAGCCCACCCAACAGTTCAGCAAACACTGAATAAACCATCAGCCAGGACGACTCATGCTGCTGGCTCATTATGTCCCACTCATCAAAATTCAGAAACTACACTGCCCTCACAATCAGCAAGTGTTGCATGCTTGTAAAGACGACTCTTCCTTTGTGTCAACTAACAGGATACAAGAAAATGTGTATAATATGTTACAGAATATATAGTGTATTAAAAATGGATTTCCTTCCTGCTCCGTCTGATATCAAAGAATTGCTTTCTGGTTTTATTCTTTAAAGCTGCACTACTCAGTGTTATTGTAATATGAAATATAATGAATGTGACTATGTACAGACTTATGCAATAATCATCAGTTTGACAGAAGACACCAACTGAATGCTAATAATGCTGTGTGTCTGCTGGATGTGTGAATAGGTAGTTGTATGCTAACATGGTAGCCATAATAACCAGGTGATAATATGTCAGGTGGTGGGTTTGTCAGTTTGTTTGGGAATGATCTGGTCCATAGTGGTTTCATCAGGTTCAGATTAATGCAGTTAATGTTGTGGTACCATTGAGAAGAAGCTGGAACAGCCAGATCGACAGTTATTGGACAGGTAATCAAACCTTCAGTCCATCACAATGAAGTCACAAAAGCACATTTTAAATGGTAAATGGACTGTGCTTGCATAGCACTTCTCTAGTTTTCGGGTCACCCAAATCGCTTTTACACTACATTTCACATTTACCCATTCACACACACATTCACACACTAGTGGCTGAGGCTACCACACATGGTGCCAACTGCTACTCAGTAGCCATTCACACACACTTACACACTGATGGAACAGTGATGGGGACTAATTTGGGATTCAGTTCCCAAGGATACTTCAACATGCAGGCTGCCGGAGCCGGTGAATCGACCTGCCAATTTTCGATTAGTGGGCAACACGCTCTGAGCCAAAGCCGCCCCAAATCTATACAAAATTATTGTAATATTTCACGATGATGAAACCAGAGTAAACTGACTATGTGAATGAGGGACAGTCAGCATCATTTGACCTTTATGTCATTTTTATGAAGATTGCTTTTTGGCATCATTGGGCTTTAAGTGCAGAGAGCAGTGTTGATGTTATTGACCTGGCAGGAAAAGGAATGCTGGTCAAGTCATTTTTATTAGCTTTGTCCAGCAGCTATATAGCTCGCTCTGCCAGTCGATCAGTCCACAAAATTTCCTCACCCTTTGGCAGCAATAGTTTTTGCCCTAGGAGGCTGAAATTTAGTATGGAGGTCGAGTGTGTGTGTGTGTGTGTGTGTGTGTGTGTATGTATATATGTTTGTAAAAGTTTGTGTTTGTGTTCATGCCAACAGACCCAATCACTGTGACGTTTGGCTAATAACAAC